TCTATCTTGAGTTGAATTTTGTATATAGCGTGAGGAAGTGGTCCAGATTCATTTTTTCTGCACATGGCTAGCCAGTTCTCCCAGCACCATTTATTAAATAGGGAATCTTTTCCCCATTGCTTGTTTTTGTCAGATTTGTCAAAAATCAGATGGTTGTAGGTGTCTGGTCTTATTTCTGGGTTCGCTGTTCTGTTCCTTGGGTCTATGTGTCTGTTCTTGTACTGTAGCCCTATAATAGTTTGAAGTTGGGTAATGTGATGCCTCTAAGCTTTGTTCTTTTTGCTTAGGATTGCCTTGGCTATCTGGACTCTTTTTTTGGTTCCATATGAATTACAAAATAGTTTTCTTCTAATTCTGTGAAGAATATGTTGGTAGTTTTATTACTCAAGTTATTCAATGGGAATAATACTGAATCTGTAAATTACTTTGGGCAGCATAGCCATTTTCATGATATTGATTCTTCCTATCCATGAGCATGGAATGTTTTCCATTTGTTTGTATCATCTCTAATTTCTTTGAGCAGTGGTTTATAGCTCCCTTTGAAGAAGTCCCTCACTTTCCTCCCTAGCTGAATTACTAGGTATTTTATTCTTTTTGTGGCAATTGTGAATAGGGAGTTCATTCATGATTTACTCTCAGCTTGCCTGTTGTTGGTTTATAAGAATGCCAGCGATTTTTGCACCTTGAAATTTTATCCTGAGACTTTGCAGATGCTGCTTATCAGCTTAAGAAGCTTTTAGGCTGAGATGATGGAGTTTTCTAGATATAGGATCATGTCATCTGCAAACAAAGATATTCCCTCTTGCTATTTGAGTAGCCTTTATTTCTTTCTCTTGCTTAACTGTCCTGCCTAGAACTTCCAATACTATGTTGAATAGGAGGGGTGAGGGTGAGAAAGAGCATCCTTGTCTTGTGATAAAAATAATTCTTAACTTTTAAGCCTCCCCATATAAGTTAGATGCTTCTTTACAACTTACTTTTCTTTGTCCAATCTAGTACAAAAGTAACTGGCTTTAAGTACTTCTCTTGGTCTTCATTTCTTTATAAGGGCTCTCATGCCATGTAATATTTGTATGAAATAAAATTTTATGCTTTGCTCATGTTAATCTATCTCAGGTCAATTTAATTCTCAAGGCCTAGCCAGGACCCTATGAGGACAGAGATGGAGTTTTATCCACTCCTACAAAGTGCTATCCACACTCTCTCTACATTATGGTACTTCTTGAAACACTCTTCTCCCCTTTGCTGCCTGATATAGTCTGGATGCTTGTCCCCTCCAAATCTCATGTTGAAACGTGATCCCCAATGTCTGAAGTGGAGCCTCATGGAAGGTGTTTGGGTCATGGGGGTGGATCCCTCATGAATGGCTAGGTGCCACCTTTGTTCTAATGAGTAAGTTCTCACTCTATTAGTTCACAAGAGAACTGGTTTATACAAAGACCCTGGCATCTTTCTTGCTCCCTTTCTGCCATGTGACAGGCCTGCTTCCCCTTTACCTTTTGCCATGAGTAAAAGCTTCCTGAGGGGTCATGAGAAGCCAAACAGGTTCTGATGCCATGCTTATAGAGCTAGCATAAGCATAAGCCAAATACAACACTTATCTTTATAAATTACCTAGCCTCAGGTATTCCCTTATAGCAACGCAAAATGGACTATTGCACTGTCTAGCTCCTATTTACTTATTATAGGTCTCAGCCTTCTCTAAAAAGCCTGTCTCCTAACTGTTACATTCCACTCTCCTGTGTGTTCTTGTAGTGCATAAAAGGTACCACACTTTCAGGGAGTACTTCTTATATGCAGAGTACTGCTGTCAAGTTATGAATAAGCAGACCGGAGCTCAGCTTCATGGGTTATACAGTCAAGTTGGCAAGGATGACTTTAGGCAAATAATTAGAAATAATTAGTAAAATGATTAAAATTTTTCAGAATGCCCTAAGGAAAAAATAAAGGAGGGTATGGAAATGTACAGTAGCTAACCCTAACCTGGAGTGGTAGTTAAGGACAGCCGCTCAAACTCTGCCATGCCCATTATTCTAAGTGAAGTAACTCAGAGATGGAAAACCAAATACTGCATTTTCTCATTTATATGTGAGAGCTAAGCCACGGATATGCAAACACATAGTGATATAATGGACACTGAAGACTCAGAAGAGGAGAGGGTGGGGGGGGGTTGAGGGATGAAAAACTACATATTGAGCAGAATGTTCACTGCTAAGGTAACAGGCACACTAAACTCTAAGACTTCAACAATGTACAATTTATCCACGTAACCAAAAACGACTTGTACCCTAAAACCTATTTTAACAAAAATTATATAAACACAAATAAATTCATGTCCAGACCACACACACAAAGAAATGAAATCCTCTGGTATGCAAGCAAAGAAAAGAAAAAATAAGATTCAAAGTAGAGGGGACAACATACTGTACATGAAAACACGTTAAAGCAGGAGAGAGGAGGAAATGTGGCATATTTTAGGATCAAGGAGAAACCCTGGTGCGGGATGGGGTGGGAGAACGCCTTGGCCCCAAGGCATGTCGGGGCCTGAGGCAGCACAGGCAGTGAACCACTGCACTGCTCTTCAAAAAAAAAAAAAAACTCACTGGACAGGGAAAATGTGGCACATATACCCCATGGAATATTATGCAGCCATCAAAAACGATGGGTTCATGTCCTTTGTAGGGACATGGATGAACCTGGAAACCATCATTCTCAGCAAACTGACACAAGAGCAGAAAATCAAACACTGCATGTTCTCACTCATAGGTGGGTGTTGAGCAATGAGAATGCATGGACACAGGGAGGGGAGCACTACACACTGGGGTCTGTTGGGGGGAAACAGGAGAGGGACAGTGGGGGTGGGGAGTTAGGGAGAGAGAACATGGGGAGAAATGCTAGATATAGGTGATGGGGAGGAAGGCAGCAAACCACACTGCCACGTGTGTACCTATGCAACAATCTTGCATGTTCTTCACATGTACTCCAAAACCTAAAATGCAATAAAAAAAAGAGCTCACTGTAGGCTGTGTGGAGGCCCCTAGCTGCCACCCCTTCAGGAGGCAGGACGTCATGCCACTGAGTCTGTGGTCTTTCCTGGCAACCTCTGGGCCAAGTCTACATTCCTCCTGAGCATCCTCTAGTCTGTGACTAATCACGTTGGAGTACAAGGTTGTTGCTATTTCTGTCCAATGCAGGGGTCCTCTAACAGCTAGTCTTGCTTCAAGACTCCACTGGATTGACCAGGACTGTCAAATTTGGTTGCAGATCATACCCTCTTCTTCCAGTTTGAGGCTCTCTCTAGATTTGGGCCTTGTTAAGATATGATTATTTGTTTCAAGGCTCAATAACAGAATACTGTATTACAGATGCTATTGGTTAGATGGAAGGCATTAGACTCACATAATTGCATCTTAGCTTTTAATCATGTCACTGGAGGTGCCGGGAAAAACAAAACATAGCTGTGAATATTTACAATTTTTTTTCCTAAGAAATATCAAATCAGTGATATCTGGATGAAATAAATCTCAATTAGCTCTTTTCTGCTTTCATTAAACAAATAATTATAGCAGTTTACTGCTAGAAATAGCACAATACACTTGATAGAGCTCAGCAAAGCTAAAACAGAGGTAAGAAATGTTCACAAAATTATTTTGGTGAGTTCGCAGATTGAGCTATTTGCCAATTGTGATAGTTAACAAGGTTTTACTTCAAAGGGAGAAAAGAATTTACTACTGTAACTTAGTAAATATATGCTAGAGTTTATGTTTAATAAATTTTTGTTAGAGCTGCCACTCTGGTATCTATCCCATCCTGCAAAATATGTATTACCCATGTAGTTTGAATACATAAGCCACGTGGATTGATCCCATAGCTGGCTCCCACCAAAGACAGTCAGGATTCTCTCATTTTCTTTTGCCAAAAGCAAGAGTGGTTTAATGGAGAGATCTTAAAGTTAAGTCCTACGATGGTGGGAGGTGATGTGTCTCCCCAACTCTATGACTTAATCCCCCTACATGTGAAGCGTAAAATGTTACTGCAGGTGGCGGCTGGACAATCAGGGAAACTAGTGTGAAGACAAAGCCTACACAGCAGAGCCAGGATAAATAAGAGAGAAAGAGCATGAGTTTGATAGAGCTCTGTCTCAAGGCTGCCCTTTATCACATGGTTATTGAGAGCAGATTGAAATGTGTTTTCTGTTACTTGCAGTATCAAAACCATTCTAATATACAAGACTGTTTTCCTGCTTTTCTTGATTTAAAATTACACAATTGATCATTCATCTCAGCTTAAAACTTATTGCCCCTGAATGGGGTCGGGGGGGAAAGGTCAATTGTCACTCAATGCTTCAGGTTTAATTTTGTAGCTCTTCATTAATCACAGACTTAAAAAACTCTGCATGCCATTTCAACAGCTTTCAAAAAATAAAACATAAACTTGTGTACTAACCAATTAATGCAATTAAAGATTTAGATGCTAGGTGACTATCAGTACTGGATACCTTGAAGAGCACATAATGCAAAGCAGTAGACTCTTCTCTGGTTTAAAAAAAAGTTGATATTCGCTTATATAAAAATTTGCAATGATACCAATGGGCCAAATCAAGGCCACATTTGCTTGTTTTGCCTATACAATATGTAAATAGACATAGTACAAAAATATATATAGCTCTTCATGGCAACAATCAACTAGAGATGAACAGCAGATAGTCACTTTCGGGCAAGAATGAGTTCCCAGTTTTGATTACCTTACACATGGTCCAGTTCACCCATTTCATTACCTTGCCACTAAGATGTTTAGATTTTTGTCCCCTGGTTTAAGTGTACATGTTAATGTTTTGGCAGCTAAGTACAGATTTATCCGATATATAGGGGGGAAAAAACCTGGCAGCAATTTAACAACAACAAAAAAGGCGCAAAAGTAAATGTCCATTTCAGCTGAGTGAAAAAAACCCACATTTTTCATAACCTTTGTAATAACCACCAACTACGTGTATGTATTACCTTTAAGTCAGTTTCTTCTATCTTCTTTTGGAGCATTTTAAGGCACTTAGTAAAGTCAGTGTGGTCTTGATCAGGAGTTGAAATAAGCTCACATCCCTATGTATTAAAGCAAAAGAAAAGGTAAGAATAAGAAGTAATTTCACCCTTACGAACAAGATCAAGACCCATAAAAGATAACGTATCAATAGACCATCCTATTATGCCTTTATTGTTCCCATATCATTAGAATCATTATCATTATCTTTTTAATTTCACATCATGGAACATTTCAGAAATGGTATTAGAGTGTTACAATAATGGACTGATTATGACAATCATTTTATTTAAGAAAAGTATAGATTATACTACATTAATGGGTCTTTTAAAAATACTGATGTGATTACATTCAAGATTAACATAAGGACTTTGATACAAGTATAATAAATTATATTGTCAGTTCAATTACCTGAAATTAAAATGAAACTATTTGATGAAACTTTGAAGTTCTTTAAGCAGAACTGATGAGTTTGTTTACATGAATGAAGAAAACTAATATTAACATTGAATAATAAAACTTTACATTTTAAGTAAAATCAAGTCAGCAGTCCTACAATATTCTTTTATAAAAGCTTCTTTCTCCCTTGTGAGACACAGAACAAAGAGCTATGTCTGCGTAAATATGGCTCCTGGATTATCTTTTCGACATAATGAAGTAAATTTATAAGTTCTTTGCCTTCTCTACAAGATAACTTACCCAGTGAAAAACAATGAAATATATTTATAAGTATGAAGCCACAAAAGTGCCAGTTTGTTGGCACTAGTGAACTTACATGGCTAAAGAAACCATATTTTTGAAATGACACCTTTTCCTCCAATGTCATACAGAGGCAAAGGTACATAAAGTAAGCATGATGGGACTTCAGACTTCTTAATTCAGGAATAAAACAATTCTTGGACTCTGACAAACAGCTGAGTAAGGGAAAGTTAAATATAATCTAGTATATAAAGTTGCCATTCAAAGAGTTTTCAAGGATACAAAACACCCATACTGCCTCTTAAATTATTCTAAGAACCATTCTCGGTAGATTTAAAGGTTCTTCTTTTACTTCAAGGTCTCTTTAAATGTGTCAAGCTCAACCTGTGCTTCATTCATTTATGACTCTTCTACAATATAGTGACCAATGAAAAAATTAATTTCTCATCATTCAGAAATACATTATGCTCTAAAAGATATATATGTCATCTTTACATGATCATTGACATATACTTTCCTGATCCTACAAGAACAATGAAATTTACTATAATCACCAAGCAAGGACGTAAAGAAGTGACCCTTCTCAGATTAGCACTCCTAATAAGGAAGATAGCTGCATATGCCAGGGCATGCAGGAATATTAGCAGGGCTGAACAGACTGCCACCAAAGCAAAAATCTTTACACTGAAAGTTCCTCAAGGGTAGGTTCATTCATTATTGTTTCCAGTACCAGGCACCAGTTTGTTGCATAGTAAATGTTCAATAAACGTTTAAAGAATATTTCTGAGGAAGAAAATTGATTTTTTACAAATATATTTATAATAATATACACTGGCTAGGGGGTACAACTGTGTAGTATCTTATTGCTAAATATGCCAAATTTGACAATCAAAAATTGTCTTCCTCTTTTAAATCCTGACGATAGGCATATTGTCAGCATTTAAAATGAAATTAAATTTAAAAGGCAAATAGAAAATTCAACATAATGAATGATTAATAGATTATTATCTACCTTCACAGAATCCACATAGAGAGCCACGGAGAAAATGACAGTTAAACAAAACCCAGGAAGTAATCTATGTAGTACCCACTGCAACATTTTATAGATTAAGAAAATAAAAATGAGAGACAAAAGTTCACCTGCTGACAATTGGACAGCTAGGTAGTAATCAGCAGCAGAGACATGACTAGAAATCCTATTTATTTACCCTCACCAAGTAAAACAAATTCTTAGGTAGCTGATAGAAAAACGTCATATAAGATCTCTAGAGTTAGTTTCAAAAGAAGGATGCTATTTTTAAAAAAAACCTACTTGAAACATATGAGCAAGGCTGGAATATCTTACTTTACCTCACCATTTACAATAAACACATAGAAATCCTTGGTTCAGGACATGGAGAGAGATTAGCACTGAAAAATTCAGAGTGAATCTAACTCAAGAATTTATATAAAGTCGTTGAAAGTGTTTAACTGATAAACAGCCATTCACAAGTTTCAATGGTTCTAATCTCATCACAGACTGAGAATAAACTCACTAGAAGTGGAAATAGCTCTAATAGCAGTTGCAGGGCAGCTGCCAACACTTAAAAAGGAGACCTGAAAAACGAAATCTTAACCAAAGTGCAGTAACAGGCCTGTGGCTAACTAAAGATGTTTCTACTGTTTTCTGGGTCTTAGGGTAACATACTAAGATCTAAGAGAGGAGAACCAGAAAGATAAAGATGAGAAACTACCAAGATCCTGCAAACAAGAAACAATGTAGAAATACTATAAGGTATCGAGCAACACTCCCCACTATATATTAATATTTATGATTAATTTAACATGAAGCCCAATTTCCGAACGTCAGAAGAACTGAGGTGCTGTGAAAAATTCCACTGATATAATTTCTCAAAAAAAGAAAAAGAAAACCCTCACACTTGCTATCCAAGGACTGAGAAGATATTAAAGCCATGAAATTTGGTAATTATTACTTTCTAATAAGTAGTTTTTAATAAGTTTCCTAACAGAAATGCACAAAAAATAGACTTATGATGCCAAAGAGTGGCAATTTTTGTTTCAAGTACTGCTATCTTCGATTTTTTTCTCACTTATGTAAAATGTTTTTAGTATACAAAGTATTGTGTTATGAACCAACAAATGGCTCCATTCTCAGACTATACTTTTTGTTTTTTTCTTTTTGAGACAGGGTCTTCCTCTGTCCCATAGGCTGGAGTGCAGTGGCACAATCATGGCTCACTGCAGCCTTGACCTCCTGGACTAAAGCAATCCTCCTACTTCAGCCTCCCAAGTAGCTGGGACTACAGGCATGTACCACCATGCTCAGTTAATGTTTTTGTAGTGATGGGGTTTTCCTATGTTACCCAGGTTGCTCTCAAATTCCTGGGCTCAAGCAATTCTATGGCCTTGGCCCCCAAAGTGCTGGGATTACAGGTGTGAGCCAACACACCTGGCTAATTAGTCTTAAAATATAATTTTTCACATATACATGGAAAGAGTATCAAAGAATCACAAGGACAGAAAGATAAAAGTCATCTATCAAGTCGACAATATTTTTCGTGAAAGTCAGCAGGATTTACATGAAAGAATAAGGGATCAGAAAAAAAAAAAAAAGCAAGGGCAATTTCACAGAAGAACAAGGTGGTTGACCTTGCCTTTCCAGATATTCAGACATATAAATTAATTAAAACAACAGGATACTGGCAAAATGAAACAGTAGAATATTAGAACCACGGAAGCAGAGATATTTGCTTGTGTGAGCACAGCTGTCTTTAGGAACTAGAACAGTCACTGGCACACAGAAAGTGTTCAATATTTAGTTGGTAAATAGATAACTGAACAGAATGGGGAAGATAAAAATAGACATACACATACACATATTTGGAAACTTAATAGCAAACTCTCAAAACATTTACGAAAAACAGAAAAGAAAATGATTGTAGTGATATTTTAAATGAAGTGCAAAAATAAATATAAATCTGAAGAGAATTAATAAATTCAGCTAATTTTAACTAACTTTTTTCAATATGCATAAAATTAAAAAGCTTCAAAATGAAAGAAGTTATTTTCCACAAACATAAGTTAAAAAAAAAGATTACTATCCAGAATTCATAATTTGTAAAAATCTATAAATAATAAATAACTGGATGAAAAAATGGACAAAATATTTTAATAGGCAAGTTAAAGAGCAGCAAACCTAAAAAAGCCAATTAATTGCAGTATTTCATTTTCATGTTGTTGATAAAGACATACCCTAGAGTGGGTAATTTACAAAAGGAAGAGGTTTAATTGGACTTAGGGTTCAATATGGCTGGGGAGACCTCACTATCACGGCAGAAGGAAAGGAGGAGTAAGCCACATCTTACATGGATGGCAGCAGGCAAAGAGAGAGCTTATTTAGGAAAATTCTCCTTTTTAAAACTATCAGATCTTGTGAGATTTATTCACTATGATGAGAACAGCACAGGAAAGACTTGCCCCATGATTCAATTACTGCCCAGCAGGTCTCTCCCACAATACATGAGAATTCAAAATGAGATTTGGGTGGGGAAATAGTCAAACCATATCACTAATACACGTGAAAAAGCCAAGACACATGTAGGATTGCTTGAGGACAGAAATCTGAGTCAAGCCTTGGTAACTTGGCAAAAACCCATCACTACAAAAAAAAAAAAAAAAAAAAAAAAAAAAAATTAGCCAAACACGGTGGTGGATACCTTGGGAGGCTGAGGTGGGAGAATTGCTTGAGCTCAGAAGGTCGAGGCTGCAGTGAGCCACAAAAGCAAATACGCAAAATATTTTATTAGGCAAGTTAAAGACTAGCAAAAGAAAAAGACAAACATATGAAAGAATGTTGGTTTTCACTAGTAATCAGATAAACTCAAGTAAAAGTCACTGATACACATTTGTCATACCTTAGATTAACAAAAAACTTGTGGAATATTTAAACACTTGGTTATTCTGTGACAAAAATGAATGAACAACAAAAAACCCATAGAAGAATAAATGTGTGACACATTAATGAGTTACAGAATCACACAGGCAGTAAAACTGCATATATATACACAATGTTAAAAACATGCTTATTACATTTACATAGGATTTAATGTAGCTTTCTTTAAAGTATTAACAAATATAAGAGAATAAATTATTTTAGATTTAACCATGAGAAAGGGCCACAGAAATCTTGAACTGTATAGGCAGCATTTATAGAGTTGTGTCATGGTTACAAAAGTATTTGGTTTATTATTTAAGCATTTATACTTGTGTATATCTTAAACATTTCTGATATGATTTGGCTGTGCCCTCACCAAAATCTCATCTTGAATTGTTCCCATAATCCCCATGTATTGTGATAGGGTCC